TTGTGGGAAAGTGGAACGAAAAGATCAATGGAGTTTTTTTTATCAACTGTTTGAAGCTCCCTCATGACTGTTCAAGTAACAAGAGAGCTCTTCAGGGCTTAGTCAGCCTTCATCATGGCCCCTCACCTGACTGCTCCCTGGGCCAAAGACATCACTTCCCATCGAATTTTCAAATGAAAACTTAGCAATTGTCATGGGTTGAATTGTATCTCCCACAAAATATGTGATTTGATGTATAAACCAATATAGGATAAAGAGTGGGATGCAAGATCCTTAAGAAAGAAGGAGAAGACCAAAATGGATGTCAGAAGAGACTCTGAAACTTGCTCTCCAGCGTAGAGATGCTAAAGCAAATAAAAGAAATGAGGAGGTAAAGGAGCTGAATAGAAAATTTCAAAGGGCAGCTCAAGAAGTCAAATATTACAACAAATGCGCAAAGATCTGGTATTAAAAACAAAAAGGTTAATCCCTGACAAGCTAAAGGAACTGAGGAAAAAATTCAAGCCTCAACTTGAAATACTGATGGATTCTATGAGCAAAATATTGAATGATGCAGAAAATGTCAAAAGAAGATAGAAGGAATACAGAGAGTCACTATACCAAAAAGAAATGGTCAATGTTCAACCATTTCAAGAGGGAACATATGACTAAGAGCCAGTGATTCTAAAAGAAGAAGTCCAAAGTGCATTGAAGGCATTGGCAAAGAACAGGGCTCCAGGAATTGATGAAATACAATTGAAATCTTTCAACAAACTGATGTGGCACTGGAGGCACTCACTCATCTATGTCAAGAAATCTGGAAGACAGCTATCTGGCTAACTGACTAGAAGAGAATTATGTTTGTGCCCATTCCAAAGAGCAGTGATCCAACAGAATGTGGAAATCATCAGGCAATATCATTAATATTGCATGCAAGTAAAATTTTGCTAAAGATAATTCAAAAATGGCTGCAAGAGTACACTGACAGAGAACTCCCTGAGGTTCAAACCGGATTCACACAAGGGTGTGGAATGAGGGATATCACTGCTTACGTCAGATCTTTGCTGAAAGCAGAAAGTACCAGAAAGATGTTTATTTGTGCTTTACTATGCAAAGACTTGTGATTGTGTGGATCATGACAAGCTATGGATCACGTTGCAGACAATGACTATTCCGGAACACTTCATTGTACTCATGAGGAAGCTGTACACAGATGATGAGGAAGTTGTTCAAACAGAACAAGGAAACACTGAATGGTTTACATTCAGAAAAGGTGTGTGCCAGGATTGTATTCTTTTACCATACTTATTCAATCTGTATGCTGAGCAAATAATACGAGAAGCTGGATTATATGAAGAACATGGAACCTGGATTAGAAGACTCATTTACAACCTGTGATATGCAGATGATACAACCTTGCTTGCTGAAGGTGAAAAGGACTTGAAATACTAATGAAGATCTAAGACCACAGCCTTTGGTATGGGTTGCACCTCAAGGTAAAGAAAACAAAAATCCTCACCACTGGTCCAATAAATTGCATCAAGATAAATGAAGATAAAAGCTTTCAGGAGGGAACCTAGAGCCAGGGGGCCTGGAGGAAGGCAGAATCTCCAGTGAGTAGTATCCAATCTGTCTAGGCGGAGCTGATGAAATGAAATGCAGATGGGTCTCTTATGATACAACACTGAATAATTGTTATCAGGACTGATTGTGAGGGTTGGAAATGTAAAGGTAGACTTTTTATAGCAAGGAGGGGAGTGATTAACTTTCCAGGGAGCAGAGGTCCCTAGGACCATCAACGGATAAGAGCCAAGAGCAGGACCCTACCCAGAGAAGCAGTGATGCCTGAGATGGAGGCAGAGACGATGACATGGAGCAATGGAGCAGCTGGGGACTTTAGATCCAGAGAGGGAGAGCGACTGTGTGCTGAAGACTTGGGGGAGGGGGGAGAGAGAGTGTAGGCGGAAGGCTTGTAGGATATACCCTTTGGTTGGTTGATGATGCATAGAGGGGACTGTAACTATGGCAATGAAACAATATACGATAGAATGAATGTAAAACTAATGTTCTCCCATGTAAACTATCATATAATTC